TAAGGCACGCTGTTCTAACAGACTTTGCATTAACACTTGGTGTCAAATTCTGTATTTATTTAGAGAAGCAAGAGCCATAACTTCCAGTATTAAATCAAGCTTCAGGTTGATATAAAATTAAATCCAGTGAATATTTATCAAGCACCTACTACTTGCCATATACTTCTCTAGGTAATGTGGAGGCCACGATGAACACAACACTCAGAAACCCCTGCCATCAAAGAGCTCACATGCTAGTGATGGGAAATAACTAAAACAATAAGTGAAATGCACAGTGTGTCAAATGGTGATGACTTCGATGGACAAAAACAAAGCAGGATAGGGGAAAGGGAGTATCAAGGGAAAGAAGTTTCAATTTTAAATAGGGCTAGTGTAGTTGCCTCCCTGATGTGACATGTGTGCACAGACCTAAAGAAGGTAAAGAAACAAGGCAGGCGGACACATAATGAGTGTCACAATGGAGGGAAATATCCTGGGGCAGGGGGGTGTCTGGTGTGCTTGAGGAACAGCAAAGAGGCTGGGACAGAGCAGAGCAGGGAGGGGCAGAAGAGCAGAAGTTCAGGGCAGAGGGGTCACAGGGCTAAATCACAAACAGCAGTAGAGGCCACTGTAAGGACTTTGGTGTCACTGAGATTGAGATGGGAGACAACTGCAGGGCTGTGAGCAGAGGAATTAAATTATTTTATTGCTGTTATACTGAAGGAAGAACAGGAGGCTATTGCATTGCCCACATGAAAGCTGATGGTGGCTTCCACAGGAACCATAATGATTGAGATGTAAGTGAATTCTGAATACATTTTAAAGGAGAAGTTGGCAAGTTGATGGATTTGATGACAATGAAAGAAAGGAATAAAAAATGACTCCAAGATTTTTGGTGTTAGTAGCAAACAAGAGAGAATCCTGAAGGAAGAGCAGATTTGGGAGCATTGAGGGTGAGAAGTTTGGCTTTGGACCTGCTAAAATGGAGAAGCCTATTGGACATTCAATTGGAGATATAAGCAGGCAGTTGGACAGGGGAGTCTGGAGTTCAGAAAAGAGTTATAGAGTAAAGCTGTCTGTCTGCCGTCAATCTTAGATGGTACGGAAAGCACAAGAGTGGATGAAGGCACCACGGGAACCAGTAGAGACAGAGAAGATGCCCAGGGAGTGAGCTTTGATGCTTTCCAAAATTAAATCAGGAGGCAGATGAGAAAAAAACCTACAAAGGAGGTCAAAAAAGAGCATGTGATGAGGTAAGAGGAAGCCAACTGAAAAACATACTTTAAGGTAGGAAACAATCAGTCAAGTCCAGCACTGCTGTTGGGTTAGGTAAGATGAAGGCTGAAAACCAGCCATTGGATTTAACAACTTGGTGGTCACAGGTGACTTTTGACGAGCAGTTTTGGTGAATCGTTGGGGCAAAAGCCTGGCTATATAGGTTCAAATGAGAATGGGACTGGATGATGTTCAGTGTGAACACAGTTTTCACCATATGGACACTTCAGATTTGCAAGTGGCTCTTTCATTCATAACCAGTATTGTTTTTGTCATGAAAAAAAAAACCCTGTTATTAAATATACAGTTACAAAAACATATTTCAAAAGTCATTATATGTGACCCCAACCTGGAAAACAAAGCGAACAAGAACAAACTATAATGCAAGAAACTAGTCTATTTGATAATCTAATCTACACACATGCTCTCAAATATGGGACTGAATTACGACCGTATCCTTAAAAACAATTGGGCATTGATGGGACAGTATTACCCTCTATAGGCAGTGTAAATTTATTCACCAGCCACCAGCCAACTCCCGGAATAGTCTCTAATTTTAATTTTTAAGTGAATAGAGACATATCTTACTTATTCCCACCATATGCACAAAAAAGATCATCATGAACGTGATAGGGGCACTAACTATTGCTACAATGGAGATCACGGTACTATATATAAATCTATTAAATGAACACATTGTATTTCCACATGTTACATGTCAAATATATTTCAATAAAAATTAATTAAAAATAATTTAACACAGATATAGAATATTGCAATAGTTTGCAAAAGAATGAAGATGACCATGACAGCAATTTTACTCCTGTTATTTTAATCTTAGAACCCAAATCTGATTGGAAGATAAGTCAATTGTTTTCCAAACTATTCTAGCTCAAGGAATTCTATTATAATCTGCATTATTTCCACTGGTCCCACACAACCTTCACATAAACACAAGCAACTTGACCTGCCCGCCACTTAGGTCTAATAGTATATTGTTTTCAGTAGCAGGATGTGTGTAAAATACAATTTAATAAGTATAAAGTCAGATACCAAGAGTTTTGCTGTTGCCTGGACATCAAGTAGATTTGAAATGATGGTGATTGGCCATAGTCATTTCCTTTTTCTGCAACAGGCATTAGAGGAGGGAACAACAATTTTCTATTGTTCACAGTTGGTTACCTCAAAATTCAACAATAACTCCCTTTACCGTGTAAAATGATTTAAACTGATACTCAAAAGCTGTCCTAGGAGTCTTCTTGTCTGTGTTCTTGTTGACTCTAAAATTTTTAGGGGCTCAAATTGCTTTCACAGGCTATTATATTTAGCATATGACCAAAAAGCAAATGTTTTTTAGTGAAGCTGATGCCAGGTAAGTTTTTTATTATATTTAGAAAAAATGTAACTGGAAACAAAAGTAAGTCATTTGAAATAAATGGGAGCTTTAGAAATTCCTATAATTCTTTATTGGTAGCATTTGGGTTCACCATCCAAGCCAGTTTTAACCCAACCAAGATACTGGGAAGCAGAGCACACAGTTGTGTCCATCAAGGCACAACGAGGTGATGGAGCTCAGGGCTGCCTGATTCTGCTTGCTGGGTTCTCCTGTGTAATAGCCACAGCCATGAAGAACTCACCCAACAAACCAGGCGAGGCTAAGCCAGAAACTCTATGCAAGTGGTAAATATTGCCAACAGATAAAAATCGATGAATGGAGGATACACTTCCAACTAAATTACTGGTTTATTATAAAAGGATATCACTCAGGAATGGCCAGATGGAAGATGCACAGGGCAAGAGTGTGGTAAGGCACGTGGAGCTTCCACGCCCTCTCAGGGCAAGTCACTCCCCAGCACCTACGCGAGTTCACCAACCCAGAAGCTCCAAAAATGGATTTCTTTTCTTTTCCCAAACTTCATAAGACTTTCTTCACTCCCCCAGTTATCTAGAGCAATCCCTAGGATCTTCAGACCAACCATTTATCACTGATCTCTCAAAACTTGCCAAAATACAGACAAACCTGTAGAAACAAAGTGAAGTGAGATAAGCAGGTCCACCTATCCGCCAAACATTTCTTTAATATAATTAGGCCCTCGAAGGATTCATAGTATTATCAAGTGAGGAAAAGGGAAAGGTCAGTACCAAATGGGCTGAGAAATTTTCATAATTTCCGAATTTGGAGATTCTTTTCAAAGAAAGAAAATACATAAAAGGATATGTCATTTTGGAAAAAAAAATAAAGAAAATGATAAGAAGGACTTTATGTAAAACGGACTCAGAAGTACCAGTGCCAGTACATTTTACCAATTATTTCACTGTTTGACTAATGTAAGAAAGTTTGAATATAATGTAATGAGATTAATGTAGCAAGTTACACATGACAGTCATTCTGATTATTTTGTGGTCAACAAATATAGCTAATGTTGCTCTAAATTATGAAAAGGAATTCATTATTTAAGGAATAGCTAGACAACATTTACTTGAAAGAGCTCATAACATATTGAGGAAGACAGAAACAGGCATATATACATACAATATACGTATTATATAAAATGAAATGTATTCAGTGTGTGAACAGATCTGTACTGATACTTAAGCTGGTGGTATATCCCAAAGAGGGCAGGGTAGAACTTTAAGAGAACTCTGAAAATACTGTTTTACTACAGGGAAAAAGTATGCAGTGAAGGCTTGCCCTTTAAAAAGGACTGAAGTATAACACAGCATTAGATTATAGCGGTGTTTTTCTCATTTCATTTTATAAGTAAAATATTAAAGGTTAACTGATGCTATTCTTTGACCTCTTACTTAATAATCTTATGAAGAAAACCATTGTTTAAAACATACTTATTAGAATAACAAAAAAACAGAGAGATAAATATGCTGGGTTGGATTCCTATTTTTGCTTTTCTAGTGCAAAATTCTCTTTATTAGTAGTAGTATGTATGCATTTCTTCAGGCTGTATGTTGAGAGACTTGGAAATCAAGTGAACTACAATAAAGAAAGAATTTTCTAAATGAACAAATTCTCCAGTGCACCATGCTTTTCTTCAGGATTGGTAAGTTTCAATGTGCTTTGCAACAAAGACACATATGTAACTATTGAAAACTATAAAACCAGGCTTTAAAGAAAAAAAAATTCAGATAATTCAAGCAATCATTCAAAAATAACCTTGTTTTTGTAGAGAGATGTCATGTAAGCCTCAGAACACTTTCTTCGCTGCATTATCAGATTAATGTGGATATGCCTTACTTACACACTTCCTTCACTAAAACTTGAACTCCTAGGAGATTTATAAACTCCTAGGAGATGATCAAGATTCTCTACCTTGTAGGGAGTTGTATGAAACAATGTATTTTACGGCCACGATACGCTTTACGAAAAGTAATATTATCTCAGATCACTTTGCAGGCTATGAATATGCTGTTTGTTTCTTGTAAGTATCTTGTATCAAACGAAATTCCTCTTTCTCAACTCCCATAACTTTTATGCACAATGTTTCTGACATCTGGAGAAAATTTCTGGATATCAAATGCAGATAGCCTGTCCATCACCTGGTCAAAACTGCCACCTACTGGTTAGTCTTCAAATCTATTTTTCAATTCACCCAAGCCTGGTCTTAACAAGGTAAGATCCCTTGTTTCAAAAGAGTAAAGACCAATTATAGTATCAGAAGACTGACAGGAAATATTCTTTTAACAAAATTCATCTGCATTAGGGTGAGCCCAAAATACCAAATTGCACAAACCTGCCAATAAAATCATCTCTTTTGCCAGCATCTTTGTCCCATGCAGTGATATCAATGATTCCACCTCTTTCTTCATAAAGATGAAAATCAAATTGTTCCCTCCACTGAGGATTCAAAGTTTTGGGCATAATCTGGAAAATAGAAAAAGTCATTACTTATCAATATCAGTCTTATAAAAAATTTTACTTGAGACTTAAATCAAACTATCTAGAAAAGCACATAAGTGATTTGAACAAGAGCTTCCAGAAGTGATGGAAATGAGTCATTAGGTCCAATATCTTTATTGCTTATTGTCTGAAAGAACCATAAAGGATGTGTCCCGAAAGCTAAGAGGCACCCCCTCATCATCTTGAATAACAGATAAGAGGTACAAATTACACAGAAAACACAAGAAGTCTATAAGTGAAACAGACCACTCAGATGCTAGCATTTATTTTTATATAACCACTTCATGCACAAAGATGTAACTCATAGTATGTCATTTCATAATAAAGGAAAATGAGGATTCCCAGAGTTTTTTTTTCTTATTCTCCACAGACATAGGAGTTCTCAGCTGAATAATGGGAAAAAAACAGACAATGAAGTTCTGTGGGAGCAGGAGGAAAAAGCAAGTAACTTTTCGGTGGTCAGGCAAACTATCCACTTATAGCACTGATGTATCATCCCCATTTTATATATGGAGAAACTGAGATCTGAAGTTTAAGTGACCCATCTATAGTCATGAGGTTTTAAGATCTAGACTCAAGTCTGTGACTAGAGCTTCAGCTCTCCTTCCCCAAAACAGAATGCCAAAAATGTTTGTGAATTAAGATGAATATTTGTGAATATAATCTCCACGTTGCATATATGAGAAAGGTAATTTATCTGAAGTACAGTTTTGTAACTTCAAGTATTCAGTTAAGACACCTGGTGGAATCAACGAATGAAGTGACCCATACTGATATGTTTTAAAATTCTACTCACCATTGGGTTAGACAACATTCGTATTTGTTTCTCTATTCTTTTTAGCAGGAGGGCATGTAGTGGCCTTTTCTCTTTTTAATGTATGAGAGACAGATCTTCAGATGTAAAGACTTTGAAAGCAATGAAGTATGTTATGTGCAAAGGTAATGCAAATGAATCACAATTTTTAAAGTTCATAATCTGAAATTAATCAGCAATAGATCATGGAAAGAAAGAGCAAAGAGAGACACGTGTCCATAGCTGGGTTTCATATTTCATACCTAAAGAGCAGAACTATAAAAATAAGTAATGTTTTAAGCCAACCAGAACATGGAAATAATGTTAATTGATAAAGGATAAGACAGAAGTGGTCACAGGTACCTATTTTTGAAATCAGTAGTTTCTTTAAAATGTTATTAAGCCCATGGCAGAAAAAAAGTAAGATGGCACTGGATGGATGCTATGATAATTCAGATGATCTCATCATTGGGTTCGGATGAACTTTAAGATATTCTGGAGAATGGTCTGACTTACTTATTTGGCCAAAAAGAGCTTAACTTTTCAGTTTGCTTTTTTAGGATTGTTTTCCATATATGATTTCCTATAGGTCAGAAACGATGCCTTCCTCTTCAATGTGAGCACTCAATAAGGTAACTAACCAGCCTGCTAGCAGGTTTGACTGCCTGCTAACAAACCACCTCTGTGATATTTCCAGCTACCTTAGCTATTGATGAAAAGTCCCTGGGCCAGAAGGAATCTAGGCAGGCTGTTTATCAAAAGTTCACAAAAATTGTGATGTTAAGGCAAAGTTATTCCCATCAAAGTAGAACGTGATCAGTTGTCTCAAGCTGTCAATGCCTGCAAGCTACAGAAGCTGACCATTAAAGAGATTATATCTGGATACAGCACAGATAAATACAACTATATAATGATGACTACTATGATCTTACATATTATTACTTCTGTCAATAATATGATAATATGATTATTTAATATGTTATTACTACTAATATAATCGTTGTTATATAATGTACTTATTACTACTGCTGCTACTTTTCCTCTTCCTTCTGCTACTACCTTCAATTGAGTATTTACTATGGGAAAAGCAGCATTCTAAGCCCTTGAGATGCTTCGCATGTATTATTCAATCTTCTCAGTAACTTCATTAGGTAGGCATGATTTTAATTCTGATTTTCACAGATGGGGAAATGCAGGTATGGAGAGGCAAAGTAACTGTAATGGCAGCAGGAATTTGGTCCTTTGTTTTACAAATAAATTTTAAAAACCTTGCAGTCCGCATTGGTGCAGGTCAGTTTCAATAAAATGGTTTAGAGTAATCTACAAGGTTTTCATGGAATGTCAAATAATGCTGTTTGTAGTGCTTATACAGGTATCGGGTGTAATAATAATACTAGCCAACACTCTTTGAGCACTTTATGTGCCAGGCATTTACTTAGGTTTGCTCCAGCATTCTTTTTTTTTAAGAGAGAGTTCCTACTATTATTCTTGTGTGATAGATAAAGAAATTGAGACCTAGAGAAGTGGTTTATCAAAGGTCACGTAGCACATAAAGTAAGAAATGCAATACAATTGTCGGTCCTGCTTCCTGGACATCATGTTCAAAAGAAGTTCAGTAAAGCAATAAATAAGCGTCTGGTGTTTTCATGTCCTGAAGCATGGCTGTTAACCACCACTGCCTTCCAAGTACTGACAGGAACACAAAAGAGATAGGTTACCTTGCTCTTGTACTTCTGATGCCCAAGACGGAACTTCACATAGGGGTCACTCAACCCGTTTGAATCCATCGCCTTGAGGTCTCGTCCCTCAATCAATGTGATGCTGACTATTCCTCTCCAAAGATGCGATTTTCTGTGTACATCTGACAGACGTAAACTTTGGGTCTGAAACTTTTAGTGAAGGAAAACAGAATTAGCTTATTGTGTTTAAAGCCAAAATACCATATTTGGCATTACTCTTTCCTCTGCTAATTTTTCATAAACAAAAAAGAGGCAGTTACAATTTTAAAAAGTAAAAATAATTAATAGATTATTAATTATAAAGTTACTAATACGTATGAAAGTATCATCTCATGATAAATTTAAGGTTGTTGTGTAAGAGATGTGTGCTCAGCATAAGAAATTTTAGTTTTTCAATTCTTAAAATTACATGTCAATACTTTAAGAATATCAGAGAGTATTTGCATATGGGTCAAATATGCCTGCAACAAAATATGTATAAATAAATATTATAAACATAAAAGGCTTCATCCACACTGTGATGTGTAATTTTTAATTACTTACAGTTTTTTAAATTTTTTTCATGTAACAAATGGATTTTTAGTTTTAAGATTAGTTGCAAGTTCTATTCAGAAAGTTTAAAAACCTCTTTATTGCCACATTTGGAGATAACTGAGTTTTAGCTCACTAAAAAACTATTTAAGGTATCATAGAACAGAAAACAAAATCAATATACCCTCCCAAGATGTCTTGCTTATGCCTGAAACTTGCATCAAAATTTTAAAAAATTATATATGTGATTTACATCGGCAGGTATGTTTCTGGATTTATTTCTCACTTTAGTATCTGAACTTTTCTTTAATGATTTTTAGTTGCTCAATTCAAAGTCACAATATTTAAGTCAGTGAATAAAATCAGAATTTTAAAAAATTAGCAAGACTACTAAAAATGGCTATAAAATCTTTTTGAATTAAATAACATATAAAACAAGCCAGAGAAAGTAGCTAAATCGTTAATGACTTTTTCAATCTGGATTCAGAACCAAGAAGTATTGTAAAAATTGCTGGGTTTCTTTCATGTTGTCAAGCATGTTTCCTTCACTTACAGTCATTTCATGAAAAAAATTCAATGTATCACTCAACCCGAAAGTATTTCACTTCTGAATTATGGATTAACTCTACTTTTGACCTAATTCCTTCTACATTAAAGTTGTAGTCCATTTTGTATAAATCCTCATCCCGCTTTGAACTCTCACTTTTTTCTCTATACCATAGTCATGCCATAGCCATTTTTATCTATCATCAAAAGTCATTCAAGTCAGGATGTTTTATTAGGAAAACGAAAACTATATTCTTCAAAAGATAGTACTTTTAATATTTGAAGATTTCCATGAAAATGTGTCTAAATCACACTGCATATTTTCCTGCCTTGGTGATCAGCAAATTTTGAACAATATTGCTTGGTGGCTCTGCCTTATTAATATAAATGCAGGATTTTGCCTTCACAACCCTCATCTCTGTAAGCTCAAGAGCAGTGGCATCTGTGTTCTAAAGAGCAACCAGTGTTACCTGGAGCACTTGTAATATCCACAGGACTCCATGCCCCATTTCAGTGAGAGCCCCTCTGCTCCTATCTGCTATGTACACTCGGTTTCCACACTAGAATTTCTTTGGACCAAGGATTTCTCAGATTAAAATAACTGTTTAGAATTCACTGCATCAAGTAATCTTCAAGGGTTTTTTTTTTGGTTCTAAGATTTCATGCACTTATTATTATATAATGCAGCAATCTATTTCAGTGTGTCTGTCTATCTATCTGTATCTGTCTGTCTGTCTGTCTGTCTGTCTACCGACCTATCGGCTTATCTAACACCTGCTGCTATTGGGAATACCTCTAACAGCAGACTCTAGAGACTCAGGCTCTCAACTTTGGGTCTGAAATTTTGTTAAGGAATATGAGTAACAAAGAAGGAAAGAAGGAAAACAATTTCTGGCAAGTAAGAAGAAATAATTATCTTAGCGAAGACCAAGGAGTTAGTAACTACTCATTTATATAGAGCTTTAGAATTTGAAAGTGCGTTTATATACATTATATAATTTGCTTTCCACTAAAACCCTATGAAGTAGGAAGGCAAGGCCTGCTACTTCTATTTTACTAATGAGGAATTTGCCACTCAGAAAGGTTAGGCTAGTAAATGATGGATGTGCAATTAGAACCCAGAATTTCTCATCTTTATTCCTGAGCTTCTCCCAACATTGGTCTTTAGTGCAGAGACTCTCCCCGAGGTTTAAAAGTAACCATGATTTAGGTATAATGTTGCTAAAGGGTGCTCTTCAGTAAGGTGAGCTGATTATAAACGATATTGCAGTTGACATTTTCCCACCTTCTATTTTCTGTTCCATGAGCGCATGTATTCATACTTAGAATATTTCAGCTTGCAGATGGATATACTTAATGACATTTTCTACACACTGTAGCTGCACAAATCATATAATGCCCTCCATCAATAACAGTTTGGTACAATCTCGGTTACACAGCAACTTCAGTTCACAATGTCAAGCTATGTTCTTGAATGGTACCATGTCTGAAACCCTTACTTGCTTGCTCCTCCTCCCGTTTGCACACGAGAACAAGACATTTACTTACAAGATAAGAAATGCTTTCCCGGGGATCCTTCATGCTTTCGCAGAAATGAAATGAACTTAACGGAGGCTTTACCTCCGGCTGTTTAAAGTTTCTTTCCTCTGTATGGCAAAGTTCTCCAAGTGTGATCCATAGATCAATGACATCTGTGTCACCTGGGAACTTGTCAGAAGTTCAGATTCTTTAGCTGCATTCCAGACCAATGGAATCAGCAGCTCTGTGGGTGGGGAGCAGCACCCTGGTTTAGTGAACCCTCTCTGGAGGGGGTTCTGATGCACAGTCATGTGTAAGAACCCCTGCTTTTTAAGTTCTAAGACACATGTGCACCGGTCTACTCCTATATGCTAATACTATTATTATTACTGTTATTGGAGACATTATCCACTCTCTGGCATGGGGAACTATATATATGCTAATTAAATCCTTATTCAGTCCTACTTCTAAATTTACTGATGAGGAAAGCACAGTGGTCTGGATATTTGGAGCATTTAAAGAGAGAGGTAGGAGTCTATTGAAAAATTGTGCAGTTTAATTTATTATTTCCTTCACCTGCTAATAATTTTTTTATTAGGATGTAGTTAAGTAATACACAGTAACTGAATAATTGATAATCAGTTAACCAAAAATTACTTATTGAGCACCTGAATGGCAAAGAGTATTAAACACACCCAAGAAATCCCTCAATAAAAATAGCATTACATCTAGTACTTAGTCATTTAAGGCAATGTTTTCAATTATGTCCGTGTTGGAACAGAATTCTACTTGAGGAGGAAAGGAAAAAGGAGGGAATAAAAAGGAAAATCAACCTAGCTGCAAAGAACCAACTCCATAAAAGGAAGAAATACTCTTTGAACTTATAAGCAGTAATTCTCAAGTTTTAGTGGGCAATTTGTTGACATCGCCAGGCCTGATCCTCCCAGACGTGATTCAGTTCTTGTGGAGCAGAACAGCACTTGTTTCTCCCATGTGATTCTCAGCCACATTAAAGTTTGAGATCCACTCTCATCAGGAACATTTGTTTGAGTTCAGACTTAATAAAGAATATCAGGATACCAGGTAACTATAAATTTCAAAGTCGGAGGCAATGAGTCAATGACATGTCTCTTTAGTCAGACTTTAGAATTAGTGAGCTGGCATTTTAAAGACAGTATTAGTTTATGTACATTATTTCCTGAAAAGGAATTCAAGATCACAATTCCTTTTCACATACCTAAAAGACATCAGGATACAGAATGGTTTTCAGGACAGTACGTCGGCCATGAGCGTTCACAGCTCACACCAGCGCAGAAATAATAAATAAGTGGTTGAACTTACTTGTGCATTTTGGTAATGAGCGCTCTGAAGCCCTGCTCTGCAGAAACCAGGGACAGGAAGAGCAAGCCTGCGGCACGTCTGGATGGAAATGAACAATCAGAGCTGCACAGGAAGTCTCTTGGCAACTATCGACACCTCACGTCAATTAGAGTTTATTAGCCCTACTCTTCAAAACAGTATTTGAAAAAAATATGTACTTGCTCCTTAAGTCATTGTCAGAAAATGTCTTTTAGAACATGAACACAAATGCCAACACAACGATGCAGTTTCCAGCCACCATTTTCTTTATTAGCATAATGCTACAGGCCTCAAGAAAATAAAGGACAGAGACTAACCGTGCTGGATCCTGCTGGAGTGCTTTCCAGGTTTCATTAATAGGTGTAGCAGAGAAAAAAAATATGGCAAGAAAAATTAAGGAAAGAATCATTATCTCAAGTCCGCTGCTGCAAAAGTTTTGGAGACAGTTTCCAATGTCAAAAACGATAAGGCTCCAAAAGAATAAATGTTGCATGGACAGGCCAATAACTATGACCATGTTAACTGCATCCCACATGTGACTCTTTGATAATGTTTCAAGAGATCTCTCTAAAGTAACAGAAAAATTTTGCCCTGCATAACACTTCTCTTTATTGCCTTTGCTACTAAAAAAGCAACCTAATGGTCCCTTTACTACTAAGACCAAGAGCAGCAAGAGATGGATTAAAATGATACAGACGAACAAGAATAATAGAAGGATTTTATCATGGTGGAACTAAAGGACTTCTAGAGAAGCTACACAAAGTTTCCAAACAATAGCACTGTTGATGAGATGAAAGTCATCACCTTCATTAATATCAACACGGTGGACTGGATTAGGCCAGATGGGTGAAAGATGGGGTTAGATCATACAGAAAGAAAGAAACATGTACTGAGCAGCTATTATGTCCCGGAGCCCTCATACTCCAGTGTTTTTCATAACAAGTACTTTTAAGGTAAAGAAACTGAAGCACAGAGAAGATAAACACCCTACTTAAAGCCAAATGGCTAGAGATTGGCAAGGCTGAGATTTGAATTGGAATTGCTGATAACTGATGATTTTCCCTACTATATCTCAAGTTTTGGACAGAGCTTAAGAAGTTCAATTCAAAAAAATGCATTTACTTTGTACAGGATTTGTTGAAATACTTTTGACTTATGTTTAGATGAGCCTATCTTTGGGTATAGATTATCCAGGCAGGCTAATCAGGGGCTTAGAGTAAGTAAAAGTTGATAACTGGTAAATGCTAGCATATATATTCAGTAAAGCATATGAGAGTTTACCATACTCCATAACAAATTATAGTTTAATGCTTATTAATAAGGTGGTTAAATTGTAGAATCTTCTATGTAAATTAAGAACACCTCTATGTTCCAATTCTTATTAATAAGGTTTATTAATTCCATTCTTTAAAAAGCTGGATCACTACTAATAGATTCCTATTATTCTAGATCCTGATCAAAACACAGAACAAAACCAAAAAAGTCTATTTAGACTTAACATGTGGCTAAAGGAACATTCACTCATACCAATCTTCTCCCTGGTATCTGCAAATACTTCTTGGCTTTTGTTATCCTGGATTTTTTTTTTAACCTGTGTACAACCTAATCCTTCCAAATGAGACCCAGACACTGTGAAACTGGAGTGAAATACATTGCTTGTGTCTTTACAATAGCTGTGCGTGGAGGTAGTCCTTTCCTCTATTTTCAGCACAGAGGTGCACATGCTTTTATTTAATCAAATGATCCATGAGACACTACAAAGAAGAGATAATGACAGCCTAGAATGACTGTTTTGTGCTGCAAAGCCTGGATTGTGGAGCAATATTATCTCAATCCCAGGCACAGGCATGTTCTATCTTTTCCTTTTCCTGCTGAGTTTATTCCAGTGAATTACACCCGGATGATGAAGCCCAACAAGTAGATTTGTCCTACAGTTCAACAGCAGGACTGCCTCTACAGAACAGCCTCCCAGTGCTTTGTCCAGCCTAGTTTGAAGTGTCTCATCTAATAAGAAAGCTTCGATCCCTTTTTTTCCTTAGAAGGTGATTCACTGGCATTATAATCCTTAGAGAACCTCTTCAGGTTTTTATCTGTAAACTTTCTTTCCTATTTCTATTGGTTTTTGATACAACTTACGTGTCTGGAAAGTATGTTTAGTTTGGATGTTTTAACAACCCTCTCTAAACTTAACTGTGGCTAAACAAAAGTTCTTAAGCTTTTAGTCTATTTGCTCAAAATACATACAAATAGAAAATCATCATATGCGCTGTAGTCTTGTTGGTTTGCTTAAGTAATATATAAGTTTCCACCAATGATATGGTAAAGAAATAATGTGTCCTGGATTTGACTTACAGGAACTTCTTTTTGAGGCTTTCAATTAAAAGTTAATTTTTTTCCCTGAGGGTTTTACTTTCATACCTGTTGATAGAAATAATACCTGCACTTTTCTTGGGTGTATGTCACATACAGTTGAGTTGTTCAGAATGGAAGCATTTCTGCACAAGATCACATTCCTGTTTACAGAGCCAATACCTCTTCTTGGTCTGCTGGATCTTCTTTGTGTGATCCTACCATAAGGTAGTGCTCTGATATCACTCTGCAGTGTTCTGTATTCTGTGCACTCTTTTTTGCCCATTTCACATTACAATCCATTTCTCATTCTTTTATATGCAATATAGTGGCACAGCCCAGCCTTCTCCGTTTAAAAATATTAAAATTTCTCTTTAATTCACTACAATGTTCTCATAAGACAGACTGTTCAATTAGCTTTCAGTCATCAGAATCTAAATGTCTAGTGGATGGAGATAAAGAAGAAACTTAAATGTACTAAATATTTGAAAGAACTGACTGCACTCACTGTTACCGTCCTTTACTGGGAATTTAAACATCTTTAATGAAATTCTGACTTACGAGTAATCCAACTGGCTTCACATAATTTTTATTACTTTCATGAGAAACATGGTAATTGCTGTACACATTGCTTAATGTTTTGTGTCCTAAAATACCATGTTTTTTTTTTTTTGGTGGGGGGGGGCAGGGAGAAATTAGGTTTATTTATTTATTTTTTATTTTTTTAATGGAGGTACTGGGGATTGAACCCAGGACCTTGTGCATACTAAGCACACACTCTAACACTGAGCTACACCCTCCCCCACCAAAATACCATGTTTTGATAAATTATAAATGGTATGCTTTTGGAAAATCTGAATATCCCTGTAACACTTCAGTCTTTTCTTTCCATTATTTTGCTCTCAAGAAAATTAACATAATGTGAGTAACACTGACATTCACCCAGCAAGTTTTAAGTTTTTACCAGGATTGTTTCATTTAGTGTAACTCAGTTACTATCTCCTGGACACATGTATTAATCCTTATAAATAAGCAGATAAAATTTTCTTTCAAATCGCATTCTGTTTAAGTCACAAAGCACATATATACTCTTCATGTAAGATTTTATCTGAGCTATTTAGGTTTTTCCTGTATCTGAAAATGTTATGGGAAGCTTCTTTTCATACACATCTCTAAAAGTTCATCAGAAAACAAGTATCGCTTGGGCAAAGGCAACGAGGTTAGTTATCAGAGTACCCTGTGAATATGAATACGAAAGATCACTTTCATCCAAAGGAGACTTAGTCACTGATTTTCTGATTTTGTAAAATGGGACCTCAAACACAGCAACATGACAGCCCTCAAACACATCCATCCACTGATGGCTTAAGTAGCTGTGGAGGAAAAGGGTCACATAATGCAAGAAGGATCTGAAAGGCTGTCAATAAGACAAACTAAAGGGCAGCTCTATCTACATATTGCAACTCCACTGATCATCAACCCAAAAAGGAACTCTACTGCTTGAAGTCTTCACCAAAACACTCATTTCCATGACATTCAGAAAGAGAGAAAAATTGGTCCTTTAGCTACTTCAGGACAGTGGCATCACTTCTCTGGGCCTCAGTTTCCTCACTGGTAAAATAACTGACCCTTAAAGGTTCTGCTTTTATAACTCAATTTGTCTGTCCTTCAATATATGTTCGGAAAAAAAGGCATTAGATCACTGTACCTCAGATACCAAAAAGCTACCTTTTAAATTTGCCTATTTGATATTCTAAAATAAGACAGTTTAAGAGACTGAGAAAGGTTAACAAAGAATATTTAAGGATGAATACAACCAAGTGGAAAGTATGGATAAGTGGAAGACTGATTTGGAAGCAGAAAGTGAAAAGAAGATGTAGGAAAAGTCATTTAAAAGGGAAATCCTTAAAAAGTAGTGCTTCTGGAGTTGGTCCTGGTGGAAGGACTTCATTCAGAATGATCATTCTGAATACCTGCTGCAAAAAGAACAAACACAACACAGAACACCCCTGAGTTTTGCTTCCTTGGCAAAGGAAGGTACCATAGAAATTCACCATAATTGTGGATCATAAAAAAAAAACAGAAAAAAAAATTTCCAAAAGGTCATTTTTCATTTAAGGTAATGGTACAAGTCAAAAGCAGTCACTCTGTGTGTTGATGGCTAGTGTATGAACATATAAGAGGAAATGCTATTATTTGTCTATGATACAGATTAACGTCAGTGAAGGCAGCCATCGTAGATTGAAAGGAAATGAAGAGGCTTTGATAATTAAAATAAGCTCACACACATGCAAGACCACAACAACAACAACTAAAAGCGTGAGGGCAGAAGATAAAGAGACGTGGTTTTTACTACCTCACTTTTCAAGTCAATGCATGACAACCTGGAACCTGCTTGTCTGCTTGAGACACTGCAACAAATCTTAAAATGCTAAAAGGAGAAACATAGTTTTCAGTCACCAGCAGTTTAAGAGCCAAGAAAAGAAAATGGCAAAGCCCTACGAGTGTAGCATTTTCATTGCTAGATCTATTGCTAGGTAATCACGTACTAAGTGTAAATTTTCAAAGAAAGAGGGAAACTCTTGAAGACAGTAAGCGCATTAGTAACAAATCACTCCATGCATAATGCAGAATTAACAGCAGAGAAAAAGGATGACAGAGCTCATTATGCTTAAGTCGTGAAAGAGTAAATAATACTAAATTGTAATGGCACTTAAATTCTCTGTGGAATTTTAATTTTTTTCTTTATTTGAATCAAAAGCAGAGTCGCTGTTTTCTAATTCAGGGGATTTTTTTTTTTTAAAGAAAGAACAATAATTATCCAGTATGTATATTGTGTAAGACCACGGTAATAGAAGTAAATTCTTCTCAAATAGATGATACAGATTTTACAAGAAGGGAAGAAGAACCTTCATGGACCCTCCAGACAGTGCTAGGATAGTCCTGGAAGGTCTGTGGGCCTCTAGCTGTTAAGAATCTGGGGTATTCAGGCCCATAAGGAACTGACTTCAAAGCACTATGTTAAATATACAAAGTTCTCAGTTTTTACAAATGAAGAAATAGAAGTCACTTAAATGACTAAGAATAAAAATTAATAAAGAAGGCAAATGAATACATCTCTCTGACAGCCTATTTTAAGAAGTGAATTTCTTAATTCTCATTTAACTTTCAAAATTACTATTCAGAACCACAAGTCAAGAATATTAATGTAAAGGATTTAGACATTACCCTCCAAAAGAAAGACTTCACAGAGACATAAGATCCAACCACTTCATTTTCTGAGAGTTCCTAAAAACAAACAAATATTTAGCTAAATTTTGAGGTGTTCTGAGAATACCTGATTAGCCCAACAAAATTAAAACAAGTAAAACCCCCTAAATTATATATCCTAAAGACACTTTGGATGTTTATAAACTGTAAGTTTCCTTCTTCTGAATAAATTTAAGTTTTTTGTCTTATTCATATCTGATACAATGGTAGTAAAGCTTAGAGAGAACTGTTTCTATAATTTTTAACGGATCGACTTACCTCTTTAGTCTGAATTATTAACTCATATATCTCAGAATCTAACATTTTATTTTAGAAAGTAGAACTGTTTAAACATACTTTAAAATTTTGAAATAAACCAGATATCTGTTTCTTTTAACAAAACAATTTAATACCACAGACCTTCAGAGCATTTTTAAAGAGTGACAGCAGAAATCTTATTTATAAACATGTACTTAGTCAAATTTGGTTTAATTCCTTACTAAAAACTTCCTAGTTTTATGATATAACATTTAATATATATAATATAAATTACTTAGTTAACTTGAGCTCCCCAAATGTAATTTTAAAAAGAAATGAATACTGAAAAAGGTGGCTATTTAGCTGAAAAGAAAGTAATAGGTTCACGTTGGACATTTTATTACTTAATCCTCAGACTTTCATAAAGCAAAATCAGTTTGACTTTAGGAAATCAAAACACAGTTACTTTTTTAAGAACTTTTAAAGTTACATGCATCCTTTAAATTTTAATTTTTTTAATCCTGTCTCTGGGTGTCAGTTACAATAAAATTATGGAAAACTGATGACAGTTATGGGAAAGCATCAACCTTTGATACTGTGATGCAGAGGAAGCAGTTTTGCAATTTATCTGATTATTCCATGATTTTATGTTGGCAACTAAGATGGTACTGGTCCAGCACCTCACAAGATGCCTAATGCATAGTAGGTGCTCAATAAATATTTGTTGATTGACTGTTACCTGGAATTCATTTGCTTAAGGATATATATTCCCTTCAAAAATCATATCAGAAAATAATAATGAACTGAAGTACTTTAGGATGTGCAGCAATTTGAATAATGTAAGTTTAGAACTAGAATTACATCAGAGATTGTCCATGTAATCTACCTGAGCTTTTTACATGAAGTCTATTTCTTAATTAAACTAATTACATTTTTCCAAGTTACTTGCATAGGGTTTGGTCAGGCAGCGTGACTAATGTCAGAAGTCATCAGGAAAAAGTCTGGGGTTCAAGACATGGTTTTACCATCACTACGCAGGTCTAATTCATTTACATTTACAGCTTTGGTTCTCATCTATCACATTTAGCAAATTGTCATATCAGTTTCTTAAAAAATCCATAAAAATATACTTACACTTGGACGATGGGGCACAAACCTTAGGTGGATGACTGCAGTCTTTTTTGATGCTATGCTATTATTTAACTCAAAAAACCTTATTCTAGCCTCTGGAAAAGATGCATGTGTTTCTGTTCTATTGCCAATTCTCTTCTTACTTTGATTACCAGTTCTATTTTAATTAAGCATCATATTTAGCAAAATGTGGATAAATTTTAAAGTCCCACATTAAAGAAATTACTTCCTGATGCTCCTTACACAAATCATTTCCCCAGAGTCAATAATGCAAGTTATATAACCAACACTGAGTGTTTCCTTAATGCAAAAGTGTATTAAGGTGACTTCGATTGATGTGAAAATCTTGGCTCTAGTCTCAACAGTTACAACAACTAAGATTACCATTTAGCATTTAGAAATATTGGTACCTCATTTGAAGTTTAGGTGGTCTAAGGTGACTAATAGTGAAACTGCACCAACTCAGTATTCTCCATTCTTCCTCAGATGAACAATGAGGGTAATGGTCTAATGATGTGATTTGTATGCAGATAGCAAAACGACATTGATAGATTGGGTGGCGGGGGTGGGGGGGGAGTTTTAATGATCAAGATTTAGAACTTAGGTTTCTCTGTTCAAATTTGAGAAACAAAAATCCTAGTCACATTTGGATCCACGGAAGTCCCCAAGCTGTGCTTTCCATGCCACATTTAACTACTTCTGTCATTATTAATTAACTAAAATTTGTATTTCATTTTACAACCTACATTCTCATGTAAATTTAGGTCTCTATTTCAAGGAAAACAACTTAATTTTCCTGTGGATTCTTGTGCCATTTATGGCTCTGATGAATGTAAAATTCACAGCAGACTAGCCCAGGCCTTCTTTTCACTAGAGTTTCCAATAACAACAGTAACAATAATAATGAGACACTTGGCATTACGATAATGAGTTCTAAACAAAAGAGGTGATTTTATTATGGAGGGTAAGAAAAGCAGAATAAAGTCTTCATGAATTCCAGAGAAAACTTGTCCTAAACCATGAATGTAGGTATTGAGTTACACTTTTAGTCTCCATCAAGACAAGAGGTTGGTGAGTGAGGGAAAGCACCATTTTAAAAATGGTAAAATTACAAAGTAACAACAAATGGAAACAGAATAAAACCCAGAGACCTCAACCTGATAAAGAAAAATTACTGAAGTTATTCTTAATGATGAATCATTGAATTATTTCTGCTGAGGTTTTGAATTGATTAAAGTAGCAAGATCCACTGGTAGTATCTTTTCTAAATCTATTTTTTGCCTCCAAAAAACCAACATACTCTAAGAAAATTTCTTCTCAAAGATCAGAAATCCTAGTATGAATCTAAAAGTTAACAAGATTTTAAACTAAAAAATCTGGAAGATACATACTTTTCTTCAGAGAAATAAAACTAAAGGACAGTTCATTTTTTCCCCTAACAAATGAATATGATGCTATTTTTCAGTCTTTCTATATAAAATAAATCATAGAAATCTTTGACGGCTTCACCATCAGACAAACAAGGATCAGCCACTGAACTTTTATTGAAAGTGGTGTTTGTAATTAGCTTTACTATGTACAGGCCTTTAAACATATCACATGTTATTATAATTCAGCAATTCTATGATACTCAAAACACTCACAATAGATTAGAAATTGTGAAGCCTGAGATTCCAATTTAAAAGTCAAGCCAGGTAGTAATATACACAGCAGGTTTTTATAGATTAATAGATAGATACAGATAATTTCCTTTCATCAACACCTCTTTGGGCACTTAAGAGGTAATACTTAATAAATAATTTTCATAGACTTCCCTGGTCAGACTGTAATCACTAGTTATCAAAGCTGTGGCTCTCAGATGCTTCCAGCAATTTGACTGACTTTCAATAGTTACGTCATTGAAAACAGGGACATGAAATAAGTAGAAATGCTATTTTCTTGTTTTCTTGGTTCCTCAAATAGATGTCCATATCATTTATACTCATGAAAGATAAATATGATTCCCCTGCAACTCCCACTGTCCTTTTAAACACTGTTGAAGGGAGAGTGACAACGTCCCCTCCCCAGAGGACCTGTCCTGTAGCTGAAGCCTGGCCTTGCTTTGTCTTTTAGGTTTTTAGAAATTTTACTTTTGGTCTTTCACATGCATGTGTGCATGTGTGTGTATATGTAGATACAAATACATGCATATGTTTGTACAAATTGCTGTCAACCACGGCTTGTTTAACCAGTCCTTACAAAACTGTCATTAATTTTCATTGTATACATTTAGGGGGCTTTAAAACCAACATATCTCCTCCCAGCCACACTCAATTTAACATACATATGTATATGTTAGCTATATCTGATATACATTATATGTACACATATATACATGTTTTATATATATCTATCTTTGAATTAAAGGCCATGTAATATGTGAATCAATCCTTAGTATCAATATTCCAGAGCCAAGTTATGAGTTCTCTCCCTTTGATCAGCCCTGAAAGGGCCTTGGAAAACCATGAGCTCACTCGGTAGCACACGTGAGCAATGTGAAGGCCAACCAGCGATCCCACAATTAAGCATCTCAGAGCTAGTGCGCAGGCACCATGGAAACCATCCTCTGCTGACATTACACTTTGTCCTTCCACTTTGTGCTAACTCATCCAAGTTCACTCCCCAAAAGACACACATTTAAGAAATTCAACAAGAGCAGTCAAATAAATGTAATGCCCATTGGTTATAGCAAATCCCTGTAGTTATGAATTACAATACATAAAAATGTATGATATTTTATACCTATGGGAAAACATGAAAAGAGCAAGAAAAAAAATCATCTTAATATGAAATTTAATTATGGCTCCATGTATTTTGAGAGGATAATCAAATGTTTATCAGCAATCTGATATTTCTATTTTAAATAAACTTACTACAAATTTTAGGAGTGTAGTTAATCGAGGTTAAAAATGCAGTCCCTTATAATAGAAACACGCTATTTGCCCTTTGTTTATTGCTACATTGTGGAATCTTAGAAGTCTGAATTATGAGGTTGACTTCACAGCATTTCCAAATAACACAGATTCGGGAGTATAAGTAGTAGCATAGTCGGGGTTTTTAAAAGAATTTTATATTTCCTTCAAAAATATGTAAGCACCTAATTTTTTTTTAAAGACACCTGCATAACCATTTGAAATGGGACACCAAAGAAAAGCCATTTTGGACACTCACAGTTCAGAAAGTCAATGACCAAAAACATTTTCACTTTTTGCAATTTTTTTTTCCAGGATCATCTATTTATTATCAGGATAGGAGGTCTTTGTAGAAAGGACATGTTAACTGTGAAATAGTGCCTTTTTTCCCACTATGTCTGACTGACTGTGTGAGATACTTAAAAATGTGTTAATCTGTTTCTCTACCATTTCTTAAATTAAAGCACTTAGAGGTTTTCACTGATGCATTTTTTAATGTGTCATCCAAGGTGTCAGGTTTAACTACGCCCTGCAGACTTACAGAGTTGAGAATGTTCTCTAGTTTAAATTAACAATATACTTGCCAAAAGTCTTATTAAAAATTGCCTCACTCACCCAGTGGATAAAGTGTTTTATAGTCCATTAAAATTATGCCAAGTGATTAAAATAAAATCTTTATAAAAAAGGTATGTTACTAAAAAAAAAAAAGCCATCAAGTAACAGAAAATATGCTAATGAGACATCACCCCATAGTCTGTTACATTACTCAAAGGATGAGCTCTTCTTAAAACAATTTTAAATTGTTATTGTTGAAAACAGGAACTGCGACATGTGTATTTTTATATTATCACAATAGTTATTTCTCATAGAATTAAAGTGATTTACTGAAAGCACGTAAGTTTATTATTACATCCACTGTTAAACTCATTCTTCTACATTAAAACACACACACACACACACACAATGTAAGTAAAAAATCATTTCTGCTTGCCATCTATAGAGGCAATTATTTCATTTTTGATTTTCCATTTTTTTTTGACCCCAGAAAATGTATTCACAAAATTCATATATACCTTCTCTTCTGAGCTCAAGAAACTTTCTCGTTAAATAATTTAGCCTTAGAATAAATTATCAATCATAAGCTTCTTCTAAAGAATAAAAGATTGCAATAACTCAAAACATCACCATTTCTCTGCCAAAATGCATTTTGTCACCTAAGTATAATACTTTGACCAGGATAATTATCCACTTGCCCAAGTTTAAGGAGACATGGATCCCTTTCTTCTTAAAATAATATTTTTCTATACGAGCTGAGTGTGGGCAGAATTAGAAATGTGCACAGTGGAAGCTGTGCAGAATGAATGTTTTAAAGGATGCTACTATCCCCAGAAGAGGAAATACTATGGAATTCATAATTATTTACTGGTTAACATACCATTCAAATATAGCACGTATTTTATACATTCTTCCTTTTCAGATGTAAGTTTAGGTGTATTTTTTTTCTTACTCATTTTTAGGTGGTAACACATTTACTCTAAATAATAGTGAAGTCTGTCCTGAACAGCAATCACAATTTCTCTGCCCTCAAGTTGGCTATTCACTTCTCTTGTTTTCATTAGTAAAATGAAGTACAATACCACATTATGTGAGCGCCACAAATAAGGTTTCCACTGAAAGAATCTGCTATTGGCAAGACAACGAAAATGATGAACAGATATTTAAGTAAGAGGAAATTCCATGAGCTGATGCCCCTGTATACAGGAGAGAGGTACACATTAAAAAAAATAACAATGTCAGTTTAGCTTTTCCCCCTCCATGATGATGTCACTTCTGAAAAAGACCTAGGAAATGAAGAAAAACTCCACACTGAAGAGAATATCTAACAACACTCTGACTGTATTTAAGTCTTTTGCCACAAAGTTTTTAAATTTCAGATTTTTGAGCACCAGTAGTGCTCAAAGACAGGCTGCATACCAAAGCCCTGTTACAAAAAAGCAGACCTCATTCTCGTAAACCAAGATTCCAAAGAAGAAAATGACCTGTTTATATGAAAAATTTACCTTTGACTTTGAGTGTATTTATATCAAATGTAAAATACCTCTATGTAAATGTCATGTAAATAAATTATATCCTCTTTCCAAAAGCAAGAGGAAAAATCTTGACCCACACAAGAAACTTCAAGAAGATTGAAATCATTAGAAAAATGATGCATTTCTACAACACAGTAACAGCGATACACAAAACTACAGAGTATGTCATTTATCCCTTAGTTTCCCAAGAAGCACAATTGACTTGAACACCATCCTTTCTCCTTCAGTCCTAGGAGGAAAGAACTGGGGGAGGAGTCTCATTGTGTGTGAAGGATGGCAGACTAGGTGGTAACTGAAATTTCAAACCTTGCCTGGATTTTGAATTTAACACTCTGCTCTTGTAACACTAATCTGGTTGAACATGACACGTTTTAGGGGACAGTGACAATCTGAATGAATTATCAGGTATTCAGTATGTTCTCATAGGAAAAAATTCAAATGATTTTCTCCTACTCAGTATTCAATATCTACATTAAATTTTATAAAATTGAAAATCCCTTAGGCTAAAACCCCAAAAGCCATATTATCATACACACTAAAAATAATTTGCCAGGTACTCCAGTGAGTGTAGAGTTAGACACAGGGAATTCTGTATCTTCAATGGAAAGCTAGAAAATGTACCAGTTTGGATGTACAATTGGATTATTAATAATAAATTAAAAACTCCAAGATGTACAAATAGTGAAGAAAAGATGTTTATTATTTATTTTTAATTTCTTTGCAGATCAAAAGAAAAGGTATGGATTTATTTTAATTTATACTTAAAGATAAGTTAAATGAACTATTTAAAGAATCTTTATATTTGTTCTTTTATATTACAATAAAATGGATCATTTCCACCAATTAATACTAAAAACTATGTATTTTGCTCTAGCATTTTATATTAAGTACATCTAGAAGAGAGATATTGCTACATATTAATGGACTGCAGTGTTTTTACACAGATATTGGATAATATAGACACAGAATGAAGAAAGCCAAATTATATGAATTTTTAAAGATATATGAAAATATATACTTTTAATATAACACTAATTTTGAAGTACAAAAAAAAGTGTAATACAAATATGAACGGTGCAAACATTTCTTTAAGATTTTTGAAACTTTGTTTTGGTCAGTAAAAAACATAATGAATGCTAAGTCAGAAATATTCACCAACTTTCCTTAATAAATGTTTTTCATTTTACTAAAATGATAAAAGTTATTTTTAATGTGGACCTGACCTTTTTTATCATCCAAATTATCTTTTGGTCATTAATTCTATAATAACTGGGAAGAAAATTTTTACAGTAAGAAATACTTGTTAAAGCAACTTACGAGATCACCATAAATTAAAAAACTTTTGATATAAGCATTTTCTTAACTCATAATAAGAAAAGTGACAAAATTAAAGAAAAATTTCAGTAATAGCATGATTCAATCAGAATGGAAGATAAGATCGTCATGTTCCAGGGTCTAAAAAAATTAGTCACTATTCAAAAGGAGTACTGACTTTTTAAAATAGAAATTCGAGCAAAAAATATTTTTATAAATAAAATCTCTGATATTTTCCAAGAAGTATTCATATAAAAGTCAGTTTTATCTTGGTATTTATTTGTGTCTAAGAGTGGTACCACCACTGAATAATTTAAAAACTTAGTTTATATCCTTTTTTTTTCCTTTTTTACAAGTTATAAGAATAGCCAGGGCTTAGTAAGTTACAGGAACCATACATGAACTCCTCTCGCTCCCAAGAGCCATTTATTTCTTGAAGTGAGAAGAGGCAACGATGGAAAATTGTTGCATTATACACGCCAAAGATAAAGCAAGAAAGAGATTTTTGAGTTAGAAAATCTGAGACCCAGTTTCCAGTGAATAAAAACAGAAAGTTACATGGATCTTGCTTCTCTCTGGAGTTGTCCCTACCCTGGCATCATTACTTTATTCCTGATCTGAAGCAAAGGCATTTTCTAGACCCTGTGATACACAGAACAGAAACCAGACACTGAGAATGATGCTGAGAAGTGACCAGAGATTAGCAAGAGAATGACTTGGATGTGATTTATCAGGGTGATTTCTATTTACTTTAAAAGCATTACATGGTTTGCTTAAAGTTTATGAGAGAAAAAAAAATTGAAGAGTGATGAAATCCTATGGAATAGTTCAAAAAGGAGAGAGACTGGGAAAGCAGCTGATAGTTCTTCTCAACAAGAAAAGCTGAAAGATCACATGCTAAGCATTACCTTACTTGATCTTTTCCAACTCTTCCTCATTAGCATTGTCTGTAAATGAAATAAAGTATTTTCATTATGTTATCACTCAAGCGCAAGGTAGGGCAGCCAATTGCTTTTTGGAGGAAGCTTAACATCTAGACAGCAAACAGTTTTCAGCAACAACTATACAAGACAAAAATTGTTTTTCATGTACACGCAGCTAGAAGAAGCACCTTTAACATTCAAACAGTCTTTCTGGTGAGAGTTCATTTGCTTTATTCTTTGGTACAAAGAAATGGGACAGTATATTTTAAATAGAATGGAAAATCTGAAATATCTTATTGGCTGGAAAAAGCCCACTGAGTCTCAGGATTGGCAGTTGTGCCTTTTGGTGGTGGAGGCTGAGGAGGTACCATGGCTTTACCAGGTATTTAGTAATTTTTCTCTTCAAATACATTCAAAGTCGGCTGCTTTGGCGGCATCTTAAAATTATCTGCTTCCAGGTAATCTTTAGTTATATTATGGCTTACAAATGCTTTCAATTGAGAAAAAGCACTCCATATTGTGATGACTATTAGTGGACCTTTCTGCTAAATGTCTAGCCGTAACATATCCTTTAAATTAGCTTTTTCGTGTCATAATAAGAGGCATTTATGACTACAAGTTTTGATTAAGGGTGATAGAGATTTGTGATGAGTGCCCAAGATCAATGGTCTCTTGCGTGAAGTGAGTCATAAAAATTCAACGACTTTTAATTTCCTCCCCAGTTTAAAAAATTTCTCAATGATGACCTCTTTACCCTCTCTTAGCTTTATCATTACCTTTAAGGAAGATGAAGTAGTGACTAGGGAATATTTGTAGCAAAGACTATAGCTTATGGAAATGCTTGCCATATTTGTATATCAAGGAAGTGCACTGGTGCCTTTGAGAGCTCCATCTCCTTCAGCAGAATTCACTATAAAGCTGGATCGTTTCAGAAGCTGCTCATAAATTACAAAAATACAAAAGAGGAAAGATTTCAATATAAGACTAAGTCATTTAGAAAGCAACCTTTGGCCTAAATCAAGACAAAGAAACTATATAGAAGTTCTAGGATAGGAAATGAGAAAATAATAAAATTGTCAAAGACAAGAATATGTTCCTCTTTTCTATAGATAGTGGTTTGATAGGTTATATTTTGTCTATATATACTCTGTGTTAAATATTGATCAAAATATAAGTAACAGATTTCCTAAGGTTACAATAATTCCGTATTTTTTCATTTTTATTTATTTTGTTTATTTGGGGGGGTGGCAATTAGGTTTATTTATTCATTTTTTAATGGAGGTACTGGGGATTGAACCCAGGACCTCGTGCATGGCACACACTCTACCACTGAGCTAGACCCCTCCCCTGATAATTCTCTATTTTTTTTTCTACTGGAGTCAGGTATTGTTTTATATTTTTTCTCAGTACCGATGTCCAATTCTGAAGCAACAAAATCCACCATTGGGTTTGTTGTTGATGTTCAGTGAGTTCTTGTCACTATCATCATTATCATTGTCATCACCACCACCACCACCTTCTCATCACCACTAAAAGGCAACTGGAAATGACATACTTTTGTGGTATGCCATGTTCATGACAACTGCCCCATTAGGAGTCAGACAATAAATGTTCAACCTTCTCAGAGAGCAAAGGTTCGATGAACAAAGAATAGTAATAACTAGGGACAATGTTTTGAGTCAAATTAAGTGAGAACAATTAACATTAATAAACCAAAAAGTAAAATCTCTTAACTCACGGCCATTTATCACCATCCTGTAGTATCTAAGAATCTTATAAAGTTCCATTTTTGTAAGAAATGCTATCCTATGAAAAGGGGCTAAGAACACAAGGAGAATTTGAATCGCAGGGCAACACGACTCAGTATTACACAGATTCACAGTTGCTGGTGAGAGTCACATTCCCAGACTAGTGTCACTGCATGCAATTAACCTGCTGTGTGTGAAGCAAACTATAGGGTTGGTATTTTTCCTGTCTCGCAAAATCAATTATATAAACAGGCTGCATGGTATTATTTTTCAGATTGGGACACTGATACAAACACGAAGTCAGTAATTTCCCTAAGTAAAAGTATGAAAGATCTGGGAGTTCTGAGGACCAACTCATTATTTTCCTGAATCAGTCTCTGGAGTTCAATTATCAGATCCAATGGTTCTCAAAATGGCCCTGGATTTTACAACAACATTTCTGCTTCTTGAGCCAAACCAACTAGCTAAACAATGGGTTTAAGTATCCCCTGCTCAAGTCTCCTTTTCTTTTTAGATGGTTGGGTTCAGGTAGATTCAGTAAAACTGAAAACAGTAGAAAAGTTGGGGGGGGGGGAAGGGAATTTAACAGACATACTATCAAGCCTGTTACCTTTGCTAACTGTGAGACAGGTTAGAGGAGAAAGATTGGGGAATGTTAAAGACAGGAGATGAAGCAAATTATAGAAAAATAAGATTTATTTTGTGCTCTTTGATCTTAACTTCAGCTGAGAAACATATGAATTTGTTTTGAAAAGTGTTCTCATTTAATACTATTACACAACTCAAATTCTTTATTAGCAGTTCAGCTTTCTTTGAAGCCCAATAAAAGCGGAATAAGTAGCATAAAAAATATGCCTGTGGTAGAACAGCAGCTCTGATTATGTTTTTAAAAGATTCTACCGTCTCAATCCATTTTTTGCTTTTATCTTTTATTGCAGTGATTTTTTTTAGGCAATTACATAGCTACTATAGATATAAAAAATCACAGAATGGCTAGATATTATAGCAATGCACATTATAAAACATATATATTAAATTTTTATAGAAGAATATTTTTTCAATATTAGCTATAGAATAATTCAGAAAATTTTCAAAAATCAACCAGTAAGAAAAATATATATTTTTTAATTCACTGAAGATCAACTATGGTTAATTCATATGTTTCTTAAATTTTTCTTTTTTTTTTTTTTAGCTTTAGCCAAGCAATTTGTAGGTCTAGGTTATCTAAGAGAGCATGTCACACAACTTAACTCACTTTTATTTCACAAATTCTCCAATGAAGAAAGCTGTGGATTGAACTCTGCTAGAAAAAGAGCCAGAAAGAACTCAAACACACTATCAGACCAAAGTACCATATACAGGACACACATATACATACTACACACTTTTGCAGGTCCAAAAACAGGACATGCATTTAAAACAGAAATGGCAGTTGTATCATGCAAGTTATCAGCATGCCTACCTTCACCACCCCACCAAGAAGATTTTGGTTTCTGGTACATACAATGTTGAAAATTAAAAAAAAAAATACACACACACACACATACATGTATAGATCCACAACTGTTCACATCTGGAATTTTTTTAAAGACCCAAACATGAACTCAATGGAGAAAATTTTAATATAAGCAACTATGAAATACTTTTGCTATTACTCACATTTACTGCTTAATTAGCTGTAGTGAGACACTGCACATTTGAGAGGCCTTAGTAGATAAAGCAGGCTGATAGTGTTTTCGACTCACTATTCAGTTTTACTGAGTTCTAGAACTAGCAATCCACACAAAGAAAAATCATCCCAAACACATGATTCATGGAACATACTGTCAGTATGAACAGTGTATTAAAAACTCCCAAGATAACTGATTTAAAACACTTTGTAATTCCAATTACTCGTTTCTTCCTACTTTTGATAGCCTTTCTTAAGACTGATGTTCAATTTCCTACTTGATGGTTAGAATTTATTTGCCAATGGCTCTTGAAACTCCTATCATTCATTCTCCATTTTAACATATTTTACCAAAGTTTTATAAACGGAGGCATAAGAATAAACATGCAGTTTTTTAACTAAAGTCTTAAGTCTCAAGAACTTAGATTCTATTTCTGAGCTAATAATCAGAGAGAACAGAATTCATAATTTTGCTCTGTGAAGGTCAATGAAAAATCATCCTGTTTCTTTCCTATACAGCATTCTGAATATTAAATGGCATTGTGAAGCATTTAGTAACTGATTTCTGGTTGGATGCACCTTGAGTTTGCATTTCTCTCAATAAGTTTTGGTCTTTGGTAATTTGTGAAAGTTCAACATGTCATTTTTCACTGCAGGAATGTGTTATATGTTTCAGGCATATAAAACTTTAATTTGAAGATACACTGGATAACTGACTGCTTTTAACCAAAACACTTCAAATGTATTCCAGAGAAATATATTTAGCTAATATTAGACATGTTACAAAATGAAGAAAATACAGTGATATGCTTCTAATTCATTATCATCATTAGAAATCTTGAGAAGAGCAATATAGATTGATTTTAATCAGATTATCATTAATACAATAATTTTAAGAGTTCAAAAGGAAAATTAAATGATTATTTCCCATATCGTTTGTGACAACCTCAGGGACTTGAATACTGAAGTAAGGAAAAAAAAAAAAACTTAAGATACCTTTTCCTTGACCTTTGAAGCATCCCTTCCAATCCTTATAGAGATTCATCTACAACCCATCAAATAACCACTAGGTATAAAATCTGGACTAGGTTTTGAGAGGAGTCATTTTAAGAGAGGTAGTCAGAAGCAATAATTTATATATATATGTTAATTATTATTATTATTATTATTATTATTATTTTTACCAGGAGTGACAGGGTATAGGATGGAGGTGAGATAAGGCACAGTACAGGTATATTTTATGTGGGACAAATGCACTGAAGAAAGCTTGGACTTGAGAGGTGAGCTATGTAGGATTCTGTATCTCTGGGACAGAGGTTACAAGAGAGGGAATATGTGTTACTGGTTGGAGAGCCTTAGTGTCCTTCATTGGGAGTTTCCATTTAATTAGAGAAATAACCAGAGGTCACTGAACGTAGAAGAAGAAGAAAGGGCTAATTATAGAACTTGGCACAATGTTTATAGATGATTGATAAAAATTTTTAATAGATGCCTACAAATGGTTCTTATTCAGAGTTTCAAAGTCTCCTAACTAGTGCTGCTTACCAACTTTAGAGATCGTCATAAAATAGCTACAGAACTGTTATACAGACCAAAATAACAAAGGGAAAAAAAGTAAATTTATGTGTCTTTGTTAGAAATTTTCATCATGTAAAGCATATGCTTAGAAACCCCAATTCAAATCTAGGGATCAGACTAGCCAGGATACTGGGGATCCCAAAAGAATTTCCTGTATGGGTCTTTTCAGCCTCCTCCTCTCTCCCTGACCTAGCTCACTTCTCAACAACCAACCCTGTGCTCCCGGCTACTGATCACATCCACGAGGAGGAGCCAATACAGCCACACTGGTCACCCTTCTCTCTGCTTCTCAGGTGTGGCTGAGGCCAAGAGGGCTGACCAGCCAGAGGCTGGCTCTGGTACAGGCTGCAACCCTGTGCCTTTTCTGAGGCAGCAGGCTCTGATAAGCCATCTGCTTCTCTGGTGAACCAGAGAGAAGCCAGGTGAGAGTCAACTGAGTATAGGAAGGAAGGAAACACTGTTTTTCAGCTGCTGCAGCAGAATAAATCCAATGATATTTAAGACTGTGCAGGGGGAGGCATGAATAAGGCAGTGAATAAAAAATACTTGGCAGTAAAAGATTTCTTCCAAAAAGTTGAGGTGGCCAAAGAGATCTGAATCAAGAAAATGGCATGAAGATTTCAGGAAGAACTCTTTGTGTTAAGGGTGAATGTGACTGGAGAGATAAAATAAAGAGAAAGGGAAAGGAAGAAAAGATTACTAATACCAGATTTTTGATGTGTAACTGTTTCATGTAACCTGCTTTCCTTCCAATTCATGTTTGATAAATCACTGATATTCAGCAACCAGGCACTGTAATATTTTTAAGTATTTTTTAATTTTTATTTTTTAATATTTTCCTAATTAGAAAGACATTGTGCCTAAATAAGTTTGAGCAGCAATGGAGATGGAAGGATTTCTGCAAGAATTGTTGAAGAAAAATTAATGTTGGGGACCATTTTGCCTGTGCTGACATGTATTTCTGTGCAATTTATAACAACTCAGCAGCTTCATCATTGCATCTCTTGATACAAACTTGATACCTCAGAACTTCAGTCTCATGGAAGAGTATTTAATAAATATTCACTTAACGTAAATAAAATCTCCATTATCAAATCACCCAATAACTAAAATAGCTGTCATCTCATTTGGACCTCCAGTAATATTGCCAGTTTGGATGACTTGGGGACATATAAGACCTCAGGCACTCGAGTATTTTCATTTATGAAGTGTTGCCCTTCATTAAAATAACAAAGAATACCCAAAACAGAAATATTCTATCACTAAATTTTGTTGATTTTTACCTCCTATAGATAAACTTATTCACTTCTCTCCATCTCACCTCTGACAATTCTAATCCAAGTCTCCATCATCTTCCAACAGGATTTTTAAAATAGCTTCCTAATTAGCTTTCAAGCATCCATTCTAATGCTTTCATCTGTTTTCTACAATGCATCTACACAGCTGTCTTTAAAAGATGAATATAATTATGCCACTTCCTATTTACAGATTTTCAGTGGCTCCCCATTGCTCTTTGGGGAAAGACCACAAACTTAACATGGCCAACAGTCCCTATGCACTCTGGGCATCTCCTTTCCACTGCTATCCTGCACCAGGATTTCCCACACTCTGTGTGCTTTCACCTTCTCTTAAGCTCTGATACTTTTTCAATTCTTGGAGTGCAGCCTGGTTTCTGTAGCCACAGGGCCTTTGCATGTGCTATCTCCGCTGCCTGAAATACTTTCTCTCTTCCTGTTCTCTTTATTAACTCCTATTCACACTTCAGACCTCATCTCCCATTTGACTTCCTTAAAGAATCCCTGTTCCCATAACTAGAACAAATTTGCCTGTATTTACTGTACAGCATATGTACCTCTTTTTCATGGCACTTAAAACAGTTGCCATTTTACATTTCCTTCAGCGATTATTTGGTTTCCAAGTTCTCCACTGGATAGCAGTTCTATTGTATCCCCAGGGTCTAGCACAGGACCTGGCTTATAGGAGGTTCTTGGTGAATACCAGGATTGTTTGAATAAAGCAATAAATGAACATTTATAATTTATTCCTGTATATGGATTAGCTAGCTAGGCTATACTCCTTGGCATGTACTGGGTGAAATAATGTATTCTGAATTGATGACTCTAAAATGATGGGCTTTTATTTCTGTTCTCTGTGAAAAAATTTCCTCACCTACCTTTCCGTCCGCACACTTGGGCCTATACACACACACACACATCTTCTTTCACTGTGCTAAGTTCTCACCATAGGTATTATTTGACAGTACTTGGAAAAGAAAATTTTCTTTCTTGCTAAATGAAGTATAGATATGTTAATCATAAGTAGCAAATATCATATATGAATATGTGTGCTCACTATTTTTTAAAAGCTTAGAGAAAAAAACACTTTGAAAAGGGTGAGTTTTTCAGTGAGTTTAAAACACTTCCAAATGTGAAGCTGGAATTCACTACTTTTATCTACAACCTAGGGAAAAATGCCAATAATACCTTTCCAACACGAAACCTATACCATCTTGAATCATGCATTATTTTAAGATAGCAATACACACACTGTTGAAATAGAGTATTTAAATGTGCCTAAAAAATTATGTCTACTCCTAAAATGTGTTGCAATCAGAACTAGTGAGAGTAGCTCCCATTATATGAAAGTACACTGAGTCTAATAAATAATCTTTGGTAAATTGTGGCAAAATGTACACTGGCAGGCATATCGATGCAGGTTAAACCTGATGTTTTTTAATGTCACTTCAACAGAGCTGGAGTAAGTGACTCCTCTGTATTCCTTGTCAGTTTCTCACAGCAGCATGATGTACAAGGAAGTACAGACAGCCAGGGCTGGAAAAAGGGGAACACTAATGAGGAAGCCCATCCAGAAGATGAAAAGTACTCACTTATCATTCATCAGACAAATAGCAGAAAGCAGAAACTCTATTATAATTTCCACTTATTTCCTTTGTCATGGTACACCTGATAATACAATCAAAATAGTAGGGTCTGGATACCTTAGTGTGGAATTTCCAATATTCAATTCACTAATAAATGTAATCCCTGAATGAATACTACCATTTGCTACAATATAACATGTCTGAAATTGAAAAATAAAATTATGACAAAAATGCACATGTGTCCCTTATTTACAACAAGCAGCTGTGATATGGAGAATAGAATAGGAAATTTGAATGCAAAAGATGTAATTCACCTGGACTAGCGATACCCAGGATACTCACAGAAACAAAGAACAGGTCAGATTTTCTTATGCTGCTTCTCTTTAATATTACCTCTGGGTTCAAAGAAGGTTCAGGACATTCAAACAAGTGAGAGCAAGAAAGCTACTACTAGGCTGTGGGGGAACTTACCACATCCCTGTGTTCTTCTTTAGGTGTAAGGACAACTGAGAGCAAAATGATTCCAAGGTCATGGTCAGGATAATGGGGATCTTTCAGTGTTAAGGTCACATCTGTGGGCCTATGATATAAAATATTAAGATTTTGAGCATGAAGGAAATCATCAACAAAACAAAAGGCAACCTACTGATGAGAAAAGAGAGTTGGAAATGATACATCTAATAAGGGTTTAATATCCAAAATATATAAAGAACTCATGAGCTCAATATCATAAACAAGAAATTTGATTTAAAAATTAGCAGAGGACCTGAGCAGACATTTTTCTAAAGAAGCCAGGCAAATGGCCAACAGACACATAAAAAGATGCTCAAAATCACTATCAAGGAAATGTTTTGCAAATCAAAACTACAATGAGGTATCACCTCACACCTGTCAAAATGGTGATTATCAAAAAAGCAACAAGTAAGTGTTGCTGAGGTTATGGATAAAAGGAACCCTTGAATACTGTTAGTGGGAATTTAAATTGGTGCAGCCACTATAGAAAAAGGTACGGAGTTTCCTCAAAAAACTAAAGATAGGATTACCATGTGATCCAGGAATTCTGCTCCTGGGTATCTATCCAAAGAAAATGAAAACACTAATTGGAAGAGATACATGCACCCCTATGTTCACTGCAGCATTATTTACAATAGCCAAGATATGGAAGGAAACGAACTGTCCATTGATAGATGGATGGATAAAGAAGATGTGGGCTACATATACAAAGGAATATGAGCCATAAAAAAGAATGAAATCTTGCCATTTGCAACAGTATGGATGGACCTGGAGAGTATTATGCTCAGTAAAACAAATTCGACAAAAAAAATACCATATGATTTCACTTATATGTGGCATCTAAAAAAACAGAACAAATGAACAAACAAAGCAAAAACAGATGCATAGATGCAGGGAACAACCTATTTGTTGCCAGAATGGAGGGCTGTGGGGGGTGGACTAAGTAGATAAAGGGGATTAAGAGGTACAAAATTCCAGTCATAAAACAAATACATGGGGATTTAACATACAGCATAGAGAATGTAGTCAACAATGTTGCAATAACTTGTTATGGTGACAGATGGCTACTAGACTTACTGAAATCATTTTGTAATGTATATAAATGTTGAACCACAATATAGTATACCTGAAACCAATACTGTTTGTCAATTATGCTTCATAAATCAATCAATCAATATATATATATAAAAATAAAAATATTTTGGACAGTCATTAAGTTAATAAGCCAAAATATATTTTAAGTCAACAATTTATTATTTTTTCAAAGAAAAGTAATTTTATCTTCCTTTACTTTCCAGGTACAATTTTTGTTATTAAAATATGATAAATATATTAAGTTATCCAGTAACTCATGGGCCAGCTGGGTATACTTGGATTCACTACATAAGTTTCAGTCCTTCATGGGGTTCTAGAAAGGCCACGGGGTTGCTGGGAAGGCCAAGAAAGCACAGCAGTACTGAGAAGCCTGCAAGGCCCTTCTCTATGATCTCTCAACATATAGAATGCAATAGCAATTATTTTCTATAAATTTGAGTCCAAGAATTAAATGATGGTCATTTATTGACCACTACCATCTTTTCAGTTCTTTAAAATTTTTTTTTAAAATCAAGAGTATAATTTAGAGTAAACAAATGAGAGAAGAGGAAACTCTAAAATATAATTTGCCTGATATACATTATAAACATACTTTAAAAACAATGGATAGTTATTCAAAATAACTTCTAATATTTAAGATAATGCTTCTACTTTTAGCTATTTAAACCTATGACTAAATAATTTTTAGAGTCAGAAATGCAAGGAAACCAATACTGAAAAGAAGTGATCAACACTTGGAAGGTTTCAGAATTAGAGGAGTATCTCTGAGAAAGAATTTATGAATTACTCAACATTACCCACAACAATTTCTAGAACATAATGCAAAATATACATTCGATGGACAGTGCATAGGTAATAACTTTTGTCCATACTGAACAAATAGGGGTTCAGGCCCTCCATAAACCTAAGGGACTGTGGAACGTTCAGCGCCAAACTTGACTCTTGAATTGTTGGCAAATTAAGAATGTTCACTTGCTTGTTCAATCAATTATTCATTTCATTCACAAAAACATGTATTAAATACGTATGAAATGCCACACACTGTACTAGGTTCTGGGTGAAAATCAGTGGTCAGGACCAAAGATAATTGTCTTCATGGAGCTTAACTTTTAGTAAATGATCCTGCTGGATTCTAGTACTGGGGAGAGGAGGGCTCAATGAGGAAAGCTGGTGCTAATAGAAACCTTCAATCATGTCTGCATTTCAGGATCAAATGGGAAGCTTTAAAAAAGTGCATAATCCTGAACTCTACCCATGATGACTCTGGTTCCGTAGAGAAGGGGTGGGGGTCTGGAAATCTATATATTTACAAGGGTCCCCAAATAATTTTGGGAACCACAGGTACTTTTCAATGCTAAGCTTTTACAACATTAGGAAACTTTCACATGATGCTCAATTTACCAATTCAAGGAATGATGTTATAAAAAGTATGAAGAGTTTTTTGATGTTGGAGTTTTAACTGAAACATAAGTAACCTATCAGACTGGTAATGTACATAAGTTATAACAGTTGTGATGCAAATTGCTCCAATATGAATTTGGTTATATAACTAACCATTATGGTTTGATAGGAATAACTTGTTCCTTTTATTTTAACAAATGCACATTAGGCATCATAGTTTATATATATTTGTACATATACACATATACATAGGCATATGTATACACACACATATATGTTTATATGGGTTACGATTTGATTTGGTTTGTTTTTCCTGTAGTAATAATTACATATGGAAATTAATAGAAGACTTCATTACATTTTTATGATTACATGATAAAGATTTAAGAATATTTGCAATTGCTTTATGATGTTTATCTATTATTTTCTTCCCATACCTTAATGCACTATATAGTGGCTTAAGTGTTTATACACATACTCTTATTAGCCATCTGTCTACACCCAGAGACTACTGATTTCTATACAGAGAATGTAATTGCATACACAGACTTGTGATTTTTTAAAGTAGTAATTTGATGTTTATGTAGTTTTGAGGGGAGGAAAGAGTTAGCTAAATATATAAAATAAGTAATGTGGCAAAATAAACACCAAATGCTTGTATATAATTGTTTCATTTTTTTAACCATCTGATGTTTTTTCCA